AAAATCAATAAATGGGACCTCATGAAACTGAAAAGCTTCTGTAAAGCAAAGGACACTATTGTCAGAACAAAACAACAGGCTACAGACTGGGAAAGGATCTTCACCAACCCTATATCTGACGGAGGGCTAATATCCAGTATATAAAAAGAATTCAAGAAGTTAAACAGCAACAAATCAAGTAATCCAATTAAAAACTGCGGTACAGAACTAAACAGAGAATTTTTGATAGAGGAATATCGAATGGCAGAGAAACACTTAAAGAAATGTTCAACGTCTTAGTTATCAGGGAAATGCAAATCAAAACAACCCTGAGATTTCACCTTAAACCCATCAAAATGGGTAAGATCAAAAACTCAAGTGATAACACATGCTGGAGAGGATGTGGAGAAAAAGGAACCTTCCCCCATTGCTGGTGGGAATGTAAACTTGCACAACCATTTTGAAAATCAATCTGGCACTTTCTCAGAAAATTAGGAATAGTGCTTCCTCAAGATCCAGCTATACCACTCCTAGGCATATATCCAAAATATGCTCAAGTATACAACAAGAACATTTGCTCAACCATGTTCATAGCAGCTTTATTTGTAATAGTAAGAACCTGGAAACAACCCAGATGTCCCTCAACAGAGGAATGGATTCAGAAATTGTGGTACATCTACACAATGGAATACTACTCAGCAATTAAAAACAAGAAAATCATGAAATTTGAAGGCAAATAGTGTGATCTAGAAAAGATTATCCTGAGTGAGCTATCCCAGGAGCAGAAAGACACACACAGTATATACTCACTTATAAATGGATATTGGCCATATAATATAGGATTAACATGCTAAAATCTGTATACCTGAAGAAGTTAAGAAGCTAAGCAAGAAAGAGGACCCTGGGTAAATGCTCAATCTTCAATCAGAAAGTCAAACAGGATGGACACCGGAAGAGGGAGAAAACAGGGAACAGGACAGGCGCCTATCATAGAAGGCATATGACAGACTCTACTCAGCAGGGTATCAAAGCAGATGCTAAGACTTATAGCCAAACTTTGGGCAGAGTGCAGGGAATCTTATGAAAGAAGAGGAAGATAGAAAGCCCTGAAGGAGACAAGAGCTCCACAAGGAAAGCAACACAACCAAAATAATCTGGGCCCAGGGGTCTTTTCTGAGACCGATAATCCAACCAAGGACCACGCATGGAGATAACCTAGAACTTCTGCACAGATGTAGCCCATGGCAGCTCAGTCTCCAAGTGGGTACCCTAGTAAGGGGAACAGGGGCTGTTTCTGACATTAACTCAATTGATGGCTCCTTGATCACCTCCCCCTGAGGGAGGGGGCAGCCTTACCAGGCCACAGAGGAAGACAATGCAGCCAGTCCTGATGAGACCTGATAGGCTAGGGTCAGATAGAAGGGGAGGAGGACCTCCCCTTTCAGTGGACTTGAGGAGGAGTATGGGAAGAAAAGAGAGAGGGAGGGCAGGATTGGAAGGGGACAAGGGAGTGGGCTATGGCTGGGAAACAAAGTGAATAAATTATAATAACTTAAAGAATAAAAAAATTAAAAACACATGGTATATACTCACTTATATAGACCTATAAGATATGATATACATAAGGAAATCTATACACCTAAAGAAGCTAAACAAGAAAGATAACCTGGGGTAAGATCATCAATCCTCACTTAGAAAGACAAATGGGATGTGCATTGGATGTAGGAGAAATCAAGTAACAGGACAGGAGCCTACCGCAGAGGGCCTCTGAAAGACTCTACCCAGTAGTGTATCAAAGCAGATACTAAGACTCATACCCAAACCTTCGGCATAGTGCAGGGAATCATATGAAAGAAGGGGGAGTTAGTATGATGTGGAAAGGATAGGAGCTCCACAAGGACCAAATATATCTGGGCACAGGAGTCTTTTCTGAGACTGATACTCCACCAGGGACCATGCATGGATATAACCTATAACCTCTGTTTGGATGTAGCCCGCAGTAGTTCAGTAACCAATTGGTTTCCTATAGTAAGAGGAACGGGGAGTAATTCTGACAGGAATTCAATGACTGGATCTTTGACCTCCCCACCCCCTAAGGGAGGAGCAGTCCTGTTAGGCCACAGAGGAGGACTTTGCAGGCAGTCCTGAAGATACCTGATAAAACAGGATCAGATGAAAGGGGAGGAGGTCCTCCCCAATCAGTGGACTTGGAAAGGAGCAGGGAGGAGATGAGGGAGGTAGAGTAGGATTTGGGAGGGAATGAGGGAGTGGGATACAGCTGGGATACAGAGTTAATAAAATGTAACTAATAATAAAAATTAAAAATAAAAATTTTTAAAATAAAATAAAAAATGACAATAGAAGTTTACCACCTGTTATAGCCACTACGATCACTTTGTCATGCAGTCGTTAAGATATTGTTCTGCGCCAACTTATATTTCATGACCATGTCATAATATTCAAACAAGTCTAGATATTCCACACAAAAAATGTCGGTATGCTATAAATACTCTTTTCATACTTATTTTCCCCTAACGTATCACTTTATACATGCATTTTCCCACCCTAGCTAACTTTAATTAACTCCTTTCTCAGTTGTTCATTATGCCATATTTGAACAATTTTTAGTGATATTCATATAGTTTGAATTTTACCTTTATTTAAAATAATTACTTAATCGTTCAACAGAAATCCAGATCCATACCACTTTGATCAATATACAAAGTACTATTTCATTGTTTACTTATAAATTAGATACATATATAAGCACATACATTAGACCAACAAGAAAAGTATTCACATACCAAGTAAAATACACAACTTCAGCTATGTGATCTTTGTGAAATTAAAAAATAAAAGCATTCTTAAGAAAAAAAGAATAAAAAAATTAAAAATATAAAAAAAATACCAGTGGGATCTCATAGAACTCTATAAAATGAAGGAATAGACAGCAAAACAGTGTTCCCATAGATAGTAATGCACACTGGGCAGACATGTACAAAACAGATTCAAACTAGCCTAGCACGTAAGACACTAAAAGAAATTGTAAACAATCAGCTTTGGAAGACTTAGAAATGACAGGAAAAAGAACCCACTCGTTGTATAAATGAAGAGTAAAGTAGTATATTAACAGGTCTTCTCATGCTTGAAAAGAAATACAAACTAAAAAGTAAGAAGAATCTAAACAAATAAAAACTATGATAAATTAATAGTTAATCATGTACACCCACTTAAAAGGAATAATCTGAAAAGAGGAAAATTAATGTAACAATATACTAAAATTATGGGTAACACAGAATTATTAAATGAAAAATTAAAATTATGAAATAAAACAAAACTATATGTACCACAGAATACCCACCAAAAGTGGCTACTGAGGACTAATCTTTAATTAATCAACTGGACGACTTACTCTTAAACTTCCACTACCACCCTTCTCAGGGGCCACATATCAGACATCCCGCATTTCAGATATTTACATTATGATCCATAACAGTAGTAAAATTGCAGTTATGAAGTATCAACAAATTTAATGGTTTGGGGTGTCACCACAACATGAAGAAATGTAGTTAAAGGTACAGCAATAGGAATGTTGAGAATGACTGAATTAGGCTTAAAAGAAAAATTCTTTGGGTGTCCAGGTAAAGATACCAACTTATTTATAAGAAAAATCAGATTTTGTCACACGTTATCAAAATACTTTATAAACAAAAAATGATGAGATGATATGTTTAAAATAGTCAAAGAACTTGTTGAGTGGGTGTTTTATTTTTAATTTACTCTGAAGATTTTGAGACATAAAGCAATGTTACACACATGGAAGAACTTGGGAAGTCTATTTGGTGGCTACTTCCTGGATGTAATACTAGAGGTTGGCTCTGCAGATTCAAAAGGATTCACTCCTAGGCTATCAACAAAGGTTAGAGCAGCCAGTGAACATGTACTTATGTCTACAACAAAGAAAACACACTTTCAATATATTCTTTTGCACCCTTTCAACTTTGTAACGTAGATGTTCTTGATAGAGTGCGGAAGCTGATTAACTTAGGCATCAAGGTTGAGCTTGAGAGACAGACTGTCGGATGTCAGGGCTGCTCTGTGCCATCCAAATTCCAAACCTAACTGCAATGAACTTTCAGGATCATACAATATATGTTAACAATTCGTTATGTGATAGTTATAAATTCTCGTTAGAATTAAATTATCTCGATAAAAATACAAAATGAAATAAACTGTAATAAAAATCAAACAAACATAATAAAAAACAAACAAAAACATTTCAAAACACAAAGTTATTGTTAAAATTGTTGCAGTGGTGAAAGATATAAACAGTTCCTATATCCATCACACTGCTTCTTCTATTTTCCCAGAAGGAAACTGATCAGTTCATCATTGAAAGGTGTACATACATTTTCTCAGCATCATAATTGTCACATTTCTGGTCACAATTATGACTCTTTTCCCCCTCTGTAGTTATCTCTGATATTTATTTACTAGCATAAATAATTTACTAGCCTCCAGTACATGCTGGACATTGGATCTCCTGATCTATGTCAGCCTTATCTTAGCACATGGCAATAAGTAGGGCTTTTAGAACAAACCACATATGAAGACGAGAATCATGAGAAACAACCAAGAGCAGCGTTTCTCAATCTATGGGTCATGAACCCCAAAGGGGTCACAAATCAGACATCCTGCATATCAGATATTTACATTACAACTCAAAACAGTAGGAAAATTACAGGTATGAAGTAACAACAAAAGAATTTGAAGGTTGGGGTCACTACATCCTAAGGAACTACATTAAAGGGTCACAGCATTAGGAAGATTGGGAACCACTTCCACGAGGAATGGACAAGGCATGGAGTATGCTTCAGTTACAGTATTAAGGGAACAAGAGGTCTTAAGGGAAGAGGAAATAGCAACATTTGGCTTGAATGATTTGTGTGTTTTTCAAGAAAGACACCTTCATACCACAAAAATTTATGATTGCTAATCCAACTCAGTCTTTGAATGCTTACATTTAATTCATTTCTTAGCACTTCCTCAAGAAGACGTCCTATAGATTCTTCCTCTTTTGTGTTCATGACCACACAAATCTCTTGTGAAATTTTTTCTGAAATCAAAAATAGAAAAGTTCATAAATTTTATTATTCAAAGAAAGCATTCAATAAGAAACCTTATTATCCTGAAACTTGTACTTGCTTGACTTTCATCCGCTTTGAGTAAAATGAGGAGATTCTAGCTCCAGGTCACGTAGAGTGATGTGAGCTTCATGCTAATACACTTATACTTAATGCTTAATACCAGACAGGCCAATGCGTCCATACACTAAACACTGTGTAATCAACCACCATTAAGCCCATAGAAGAGAAGTGAGAGATCTTGACTTATATTCTAAAAGGAATAACTAGACGTGACAATCATTTCTGTGACAACTGCCATCCTTCTTTGTTCATGAGGTAGATTCTCATAGATGGCCACTTATAGGTAAATATCTCCTTCTGGTCATGTCCAGATTTTCCCTGATATGCACCTAGGTTATCAATTCAATACAGCTCAGTTCCTGTTTGTATTCTTACCATAGCAAATAAAAATGGCTGAATTTTCCTCAAACTCTGAAGTCTTATTTGAGACATCTTAAATATTAAAATATAAACACAGTAGCATTCACCCCTAAACTTCCTGTGTGTTCTCCCAAGATATGAAGTCCCCCTGTAAAGCAATTTGAGGTACTACGGAGCATCACTGCAGCTATCAAGTTCTAAGTCTTGAATTAAGACAACAAAACCTACTTTGAAATAGGATTTCCCAATAAAATTTAAAAAAAAAAAATTGGCTGAATTCCCTGTCAACAGAGGTGATGGTGGAGTCCCAGCCAGTGCTGCCACTGAGGGCCATGTCTGGGTCAACATGGCCCAGAGGCAGCCATGCAGCAGCAGGTGTTGGTGTTGACGTCCATGGCTCGTATTACCACTACAGACCATGAGGATGTCCCTAGTCTGGGCAGCCACCTAGGAAAACATAGATAGCCAAGAGCTGTGCCAAGCTGGCCCCTTCCCTGCTGTGGCTATGAGGCTCTGGAGAGCTTGCCCTACCTCTCAGCAGCAGCAGCACTTGAGGCCCTGCACCTAGCCTGTGCAGCACAGGGGAGCTGGCCTGGTGGCTGGGATGCCTTGGGGCTGGCTGGGATGCCTTGGGGCTGGCTGGGTTATGGAACACCACGGAGTTAAGAAACACGGACTGCTGACAGAATTAGATCATTTTTTTTACAATTAAGCAAATTAGAATTTACTCTAGAGAGGTAAGTAAGTTTTGCTTAGGAGTGGAAGCAAGGAATTTGAAATAAATTCAGGGATCACAGTGCAAATAATATAGGCTGAGGTGAGGAAAGGACCATAAACATAGTGTGATGAGCAGACAGCAAAATCACTTGGAGGCAACAGAACAGTTTAGCTGGAAATGCTAAGGAGGCTCCATTAAGCTAACAAGGTCACAGAGGTCTCTCAAAAAAGACTCTGGTTACATGGTAACTATTCTCCAACCATATCCTTTTGAGAAGAAGTCAACATGATCAATATACCATAAATTTAAGTACTTAAATGCCTGGAAACATTTCTAAGTGTTTCTAATGCACAAAAAAGTTGAGTATATGACTACAAAGCTATCTGCCAACTCAACAATCAATGTGTCAGTGCCGCAATAATTTTTGAAAAATTGATAAACTACAAATAAGTAGAAAATTTTCAAACAAAAACATAACATATAGATTGTTCCTTCCTTGTTTTAGCATATATTCCTTATGCAGGAATAGCCTTTCTGTTTGATGTGAATTAACAGTAACAAAACTAAAGCTAGAGAACTTCAATCACCCTAAGAAAGAATACTAAAAAATACATTTCAACTATATTTTTCATTTATCTTGAACTGTATTTAAGCTATTCTCAATATAAAATTTTACTTAAGAATCTTTCATTGCCAAGTGAATTTTCCAATCAATTTCTGAGTTTTCAAAGAAATAACAACCTTAAAATACCAAATCTTTCAATGACCGTGGTTCATTCTCCAGGTTCTTGATACCCTGCTTGGGTGTTCCCACTCACCATGCTGTGGTGCCCAGTGCAAGGTCACTGTACAGCTTGTTTTCAATTGGCCATCGTAATATTGCTAATTAACACTCCAATTTCATATTTTATTTCAATGCAAAAGTATTTTATATAGATCTTACAGTAATTTGCTGCTTATTTATAAGCCATAGTCTGTGTAGCATATATGCACACACATACACACACATAAATATAGGACGATTAACATCCTTTCTCCTTTCCAAATTATAATTATATCTGATAATTTTTAAATAAAATTTTAAATTCTCAAGTTCTGTCACATTTATAATAAACAGCTAACAGATTTGAAAGTGAGAAATACTTTTTGTTGACTCTAGAAAATAGCATAAAACTAATGTCATTCTGAAATATTTTCAGTTCATGAATAGAGTTACTGTTTCAAATTATAAGTATTCATAAGCTCTATTCTGTATCACTTTAATGCACTGTATTTGTTTTAAAATGTGTTCATATAAATTTTTATGAGTGTCAGCAAAGAGTGTCCATAATGACTTCAATGTCCACAGGAACTGTTCTGTTCTCATTTGGTGATAATTACTTAAACCCTTAGTATTTGTCCTGATTACCCTCGTCAATGTACTAGCCATTCATTGTATTATCATTTTCCCAGAAAAGTATTTGTTTTAGAGTGCTATGTTGCAATATAAAATGCATAGGCCTAATCCATCACATACTTAGCACATAGTTACGGGGAGAGAAGAGCTCATAGGGAAATACTAAAGTAGATGAAGCCAAAAAGTATCATGTCATGGATCTGTGAAACCAGGTGAAAGCATGGAATTTATCTGGGAAGTTCTTATTCCCTTTAAGACTGAAAACATTTTATAATAAAAAGTATACTCACTTTATCAAACAAATAAGATACAAGAAAAAATATATTTAAATAAATTAATAGTAAAAGAAATCAAAATTCCCACCATACATTATGAGAGCAAAACCTAAGAGTGAGGATGACAATAATGATACATGGTGCCACTTTATGTGTGGTCAGCTCAGGCAATAAAATCTCCCACCATTTCTCTATCACACAGTGGTCTGAGACAGACCAGCTGTGTCCTCGTGTTCTCTATGGACCATGTGTTACAGCCTCGACTAACAATGGCAATTTCTCAATCTGTTTCTACTCCAAGAACAGACTGTCCAAAATCTCCAGACAGCTTTTCTAACTCAATGCCTCTGTCTGCCTGGAGATTAGAAGTCACTTTGAGCAACTTTCTGCCTTCATACTTCAAATGCACAAATTTGCAACTATTCAACAAGTTTCTAGCCTTTTGTGATGTTCCAAGTGTGATCTGATGCTCGACCAGATTAGACTCTCTGGTTAGCTGACACTGACTGTGTATAACTGGGGGATTAAGAAGCTTTCCCTTCTTAATAAATTATGTAAATTGCCTACCGTAGCTGATTAGCTCCCCTTAAGCAGTGTAACTTTTGAGGTAATATTTCATTTCTTTAATCTTCTTTCATAGTGTGGTAATTGGAGGATTGAGTTTAGAAAGACATGGTAAACCACCCATGCACTGAGTCTTTCTACTTCTGATGTGAAACTCTTTTAAAAGACTAATCCCAACCAACCAATAGTTTTATCTGCACATATTACCAAGGTTTATAGCTTACTGATATTCTAAATAATCTTCCAATACTCTAAAAATGAGGTATGAAAATAAACACAAGTTTAACTATTTTAAATATCAGGAACGTGAAAAGCATCCAATAACAAAGTTTTATACAAATACAATTCAAGATCTGAGATGCTGCTGAAAGTCGCTATGTCATACCCGGATAAAGTCTTGCAAGCATGAACTGAACGAAGACACTAAAGATCAATTATTTAGAAAACTCAAAGAAATATTCTAGAGCTACATCACCAACCCCATTTTATAGTGTCTATATAAATAGTCTGAAAGAAAATTATGATTACAAATGGGAGTAGATATTTTTAAAAGCTCTTTATCTCATTACTGAAATGTTGAAATGACATTTTAGCATTTACTTCCTGAGATAATAAAGTAGGTATCACAGAAGAAGACCGGTGAATAATTGTAGGCCATTCTAGCTTTATTACTTCTATATCTCAGGGCCAGGGATCCCAATGAGAAATGGAGATGGCTCAGTGAGTGAGACCATACACTGTAAAAGCAAGAGGACTTGAGTGTGAATTCCCAGCATCCACAAAAATTTTCAGGCAAGCATGGAGTGGTAGAAATGGAAGAATCACTGAGGCTTGCCAGACTTCAGGTTTAATGACAGACTCTATATCAAAGCAATAAAGCAAAGCACCATAAAGCGGGACACTGTTGGATTTCTTCTGGCCTGTGTGCATGCATGGGCACAGTCACACACACACACACAAGAGAGAGAGACAGACAGACAGACAGAGACAGAGAGAGGCAGAGAGAGAAAGATTTTAATTCTCTCTGACTGTCTCTAATATATGAAAACTAATTAATACAATTTAAAATGTCATGATTCACATCCTTTCTAGAACAAGTACAAAGGCAGTCATTAAATGTCAGAGACTGTGATTATGAAATACCTCTAACTACTTTTGCCTTCTCTAGTCTTAGGGAAACTATAAATCTAAATCTGATCAAGTTCCAGAATCCAATTGTAAAAATCATTGAAGACAAAGAAGTACACAGACCTGAAACCATATAGAACTAAACAGGCATCAACATTCAGATCACCAAGAGGCCAAAACAAAACAGAAATCCTTTTTTTAAAAAGCTTGTAAGGATACATTAAATAAATTTAAAATATATTTTGTTTAAAAAAAAAAACACACTAAATTTGATAAGAAAACTGCACATGCTAGCACCTGATTATAATTCCAGATCTTGGAAAGCTGAGGTAAAAATATTGCCATGAGTTAATGATGCCTGGCATACATACATAGTATCAGATTAGACAAGGCTTTGTGGCAAAAATTCATCTCAAACCAAAAAAAAAAAAAAAAAAAAAAAGCTATAAAAAGAGCCAGAAACAGTGG